CATGTTTTGTGTGAGAAAACACTTTCAATAACAGGTAATATGAATTGACGTGTTATTTAATCGTTAACGGCTAACAATCGACACTGTCGTGATTTAGACCATCGATCGTAACTAATCACGACAGCCATGATGGCAGCTAACCGCTCAAGCTATTACAGCGCATACACGTAAGAACACCGTGCTAGGTCACGAACCACCGTCTGGTCACTGACACTAGTGCGACGGTGAAATACATGCCACACGAGTCGTGAGACAATCCGATCGCAGCTAGATATCGATGATCCATCACCTCAGTAAGAACGTCCCGCAAGACCTGTATCACGACCACCACGTTGCTGTGGTGATCATGGGCGATCTTGGCCAAAGGCGAGGGCAGTAAAAGTCTAACCATACTGAACCGGGGGTCAGACGAAGAATAATGCACACCCGGCCCCCGGACGAGGTTACATGAACCTCCTCCCGGGTCCACACCTCCACAGTAATAAAGAACAAAGTTAACAAGAGATATCATACTGGCTCGGCCGTCGCCAATGATAAAAAGGACCGCGTGTGCCCCTCGAAGCGCTGCGCGAAGCATGCGGCAGATTTTAGAACCCGTTATCAGCGACTTTCGGAACGTAGTGACGATCTCACTTCCATGTTTTCAACAACGGAATATCGTAGAAAGCGCTCTCTGTTACCTATTATGGGTCAAATTCAAAAGGTTCTTTACGGTGTGGCAACAGAGAGTGATATCACTGAACTATACAGACCGGAATCGCAAAATTCGAACTAACTCAAGGAGCTTTTCAGCATGCTATCAGGGAATCCCTCACAGTCTTTCATTTAACGAAAACCCAGGTAAAACTTAATCATGATACTATTAACGAACTTATTTCAGGTCTCGAAAATATGAGACAATTTGTTAACGACATTAACAATCGCCTTGTAACTTTGGCGATTACCGTCAATGCTAGAACAGCAGCTATTGTTTGATTACAAACAACTATTGATATGATGATTTTGACTTTACAGGATGTTACAAATATAATAGCTGATTTAAAACATTCATTAACCAATTGTCTTCTCGGGAAATTACCTATAGCTTTAGTCGCGCCCTCTCAACTTCACACTATTTTACGTGGCATTAAACAAGTAATCCCTAACTATCTTTCTATGTCTAGGCCATTAGATGACAGTATCTTATATTATTACAGCTTCTTACAAACCATTGTAGTCCCCGTACAAGATTCATTTCATATAATAATCTTTTTGCCTTTACGCCACATAGGCCAGATTTTTAATATTTACCAAATTTTACCAGCCCCAGAATATATTAACAGCACGTCCGCCAACGTGTACTATATGTTTTATACAAAGAATACATAGCCTTTGCTCAAGATAAAACCCGATATTTTTATCCAAAGTCAGATCTGGTTCAAAAATGTTTACGTGAAACACACGATATGTGTTAAGCTGAGTCGGAGATATACTACGTCAGGAAATCAACTGATTGTGCTGTAGCGTTATTTTTAAAGCAAGGACACCAAGTGCAACAACACTGCCAACGCAGAGTTAATCTCTCGTCTCATCCTATGCATATAATAATCTACATCGGTAACGGTCTTTGGGTCATAGCGCCGATTAAAAAATTTCGCTTGACGATTTCATGTCAAACGGCTAATAACCATGTCCCCGTTGTAACAGATATACAAATAACCACTGGACAAATTGTCTCTCTCCCTCCCAACATTTTATTATCATGATTCAACAGTCAATTAATCTAACATCCGCATTGTTTTATATTTTACCCAAACAGCTCCCGACTCCTACTATATGGGCGGACTTAGTGGCACTAGCACAACAAAGCGGAAACGCCACTGATTCAATCCCAGCTTCTATTTTACCCCACAAATTATATGAAACCCATGATTTGGATATTCTTTTGAACACCTATAAGATGCTATTGCAAACAGCAGACGTATATTAGACGCGAACGAGGTTGCACAGGCAACACTCGAGGGAACCCATATAGACAGTGGTACCAAATCTTGATATATATGTAATAATCGCTATAGTTATTCTAATAATAATATATTACTTCTGTGTGCCACCGCATTGCAAACCAAATATCTGTCCACCACGTACATTTACTACCCCCATTCCTACCATCATTCAACCAACATCACAACCCACCCATCTACTGCCCGATGCACCACCATTCGCTACCCCACTCTTATTTCCCAACTATACAGCACCAAGAAACCCAACTGCTGACCCCACCTGCCCACCCATTGGAAATTCCAGATCAAATTGAGATGAACCCACTTTCGCGCTCTAAGCGTGTTGCAATATGATGCGCAGACTTTAACTGACTTGGTCTTTTCAGGCATAAAGATGCACAAGCGTCAATAACGGCATGTTTTCGGTTTCCAATTTGACCTCACAATGTGACCTGTTCTAAATCTTATGCAATGATTTCATTTTTGTTTAGTTTTAATTTCAACATTTTATAGTTTTATGTAATGATTTTATTTTTGTTTATAATTTTGTGATTTTGACGTGTAATATATACTTTTATGACATGAGTGCATTTCTTTTTTTGAAATTTCGTTTCTCATCTATGTTTTTTCCATTTATGTATTACTTTACCGTTTTGTTGTTGTTGTGTTACTACGTCAATGCTATTTCTTATACATGTATACACCCTAACTTGTTCGCTTGTGTTACTATATGACCATCTTTTTTTTTGTACGGTATTTAGGATTAGTTATTCATCTTATTTTTTGAGTTTTTAACAGCATATCCGTCTCGTCACTACTTGTGCTAACACCGTGGATCCGAACTGCAACAATAACCACCAGGCTCACTCGACTCTAACCGGCGAAAGATACGTCTAGTATCTACTACTAAGTATTAACCGTGTCACTTGCCACCTCTCATCGTGCATCGCATTATCGAGCGCTCACGATGTCTAATGGTTCTCTGCTTGCCTCAAGTCTTCAGCAGCAACAATGACAGATACCATCGCCCACATCGACGCCGAGGTCACGGCCTCCGTCTTCGCCGCCACCTCCACGCTCGTCAACAACACGGCTGGTACCCGCCAGCGCTGTGCGGCGTTCATCGCCGCTAGCAGCAGGCGCCATAAACCAGCATCGACCCAGCGAGAAGCCAAGCCTCGAACAGTCATGCGAGTTCGTCCGTTGTCCCCACGTAACCCCCTTCCCTCCCGATACCCAACCCCCACCCCACGCATATTTGACCCCTCCCCCACCCCGGAATATGACTCCCATAATTGTCCCCCCTACCCCCTCTCGATGGACCCATACGCAACCAGTCAGCCCCCCCCCTTTCCCTGGTTCTATCTATCGACCTATCAACTCCCCCCTACCTACCTACACCTGGGACCAGTACTTCTACGATATCGAGTCATGGCATATATGCTACCCAGCGCACCTCAAGTTCTGGGACGAGGACCGAGACGACTACGTACATAGTCCGGTCTCGTCCCTAACAACACCAACGACGACGACGACGACGACGGCGATAGCACGTCCACCTCCCTACTTTACCGGCCCCGGCCTCGCATGCCGGCCGATCGACCCAGACGCGCGCTAGCGCAGCAACAGCGATCGACGGAGTCAACCACGGAGACACCCGCGGATTCAACCACGGAGGCGCACACGGAGTCAACCACGGAGACACCCGCGGATTCAACCACGGAGGCGCACACGGAGTCAACCACGGAGACACCCGCGGATTCAACCACGGAGGCGCACACGGAGTCAACCACGGAGACACCCGCGGATTCAACCACGGAGACACCCGCGGAGTCAACCACGGAGACACCTACGGAGCCAACGACGGAGACACACCCACTCAACCAACCACGGAGACGCACCCACGGACACAACTAAGGACGTCGGACGACGGAATATTTAGGAATAGCTAAGCATAGTTAAGGATTAGTTAGGGTTTTATCAACTTTTTTAACAAGACTATTTTCTCGACAAAAATCTCAAAAAACAAAACTAAATACAAAATAGGTATAAATAAGAAACTTTAAGATAATAACAAAAGATATATATATATACAATGTACAATCCATTGTCACTAACCATCAAGTTGTTCACCGTAAAATCACAGCTCACAACTTTTCATAGGTAGGTGGGTAATGTAATGAAGTAAATTCAGCCACTCTCATTCATAAGAAATCACGCAGGCAGATTCGGTGACAGGGCTGGCCTCGGGTGACTAATCACTTGCGGGCCTCATTAACGCCAAGGCAGCACACGTAAGTAGGGCAGTGGTCTCTCCCCCCCCCTATTGAAAGTAGAGAAAGTGGACGTGCTGACCAAACGCGTGACATGTGGTTCGGCCAGCCTAATTTGAACAAAATTCTGAATAAAAGGGCACGTTTGAGAGCAGAGAGACAGTCGTCTAGGCTAGATTTGTGAGTATAGCTTGGTTATTGCATTGACTTGTTTGCTTGTTATGTATATGTGTGTTGAACTTCTTTGAGACTGGTAAACGACTTTGAGACTGCTAACCTATCTTGAGAGTTGTGTATGTGTTATGTTCACCGTCTAGTCAAGGCAACGAACTTGTATGCGACATTTGTCCCTAGAGGGATTATAATAATTGTAGATTGTTTGGTAAAGGAAAATATAATTAGCGTTGTACATTACATCTTGTTGCTGTCATACGTATCTACGTTCTCTCTATTAATCGTCCTATCTAATGGTAACATCTTACACGCGCCAAAAGTTACGAACCTGGTAGACTATACGACACGAGCTTCATTACACTTGTATGAACCTGTAAGAACCTATCAATCACACGATTACTTGTCAACGGTTCATTGAACCCCCGCGCTTAGCGCTTAGCAGCTAAGCGAAATCGTTGTGTCAGCAAACATTTATCACAGATATTTCTAGAAAACGAGAGCGCCAAACTACCCCCTCCACCACCACTACCGAAATTACATTCATCGCGAACGTAAACAAAAACACAATTGGTAAATTATAATACTGAGTTTTAATTGATCCCAAACACTTACTTTTCATCGCTGAATATCGCTTCATCGCATACAGAAGCTGTTGGTTCAATAGCCGGTCAGTGACAAGCGATGGGATTAAACCAGGCTAGTCAAAAAGACTGAATCGTTGTGACCGTCGGTATTCCGAAACTGTGATATAAACATCTATCATCAACTATCTGTTAGATTAACACACTTATTGTGGCCTAACTTCTTGCAGGTGAACCATATGATATCGTCTCGTGTATGCACCCTCGAACCTGCAAAGGCAACAGTAACCATAGAACCGAAAACAAAGCAAGCTGTACGTGATAGTTGCCCATGGTACGACCACATACGTATAATTGATCTCACCTAACGTTTATAAGGATATGGTACGTAACAATCATATACATAATATGTGAACAAGCATAGTTGCTGTACAGAAATTCAAAATGGAAACTGAACGACTATCTTTACATCCAAAATAGGATGCATTGGTCGAATGGGCGCGAGACATAGCGTGTATAATTTGAAGAAAACGGCTTGTTCTGCGCTATAACTAAAAGGGTAACGTTAAAAGTATGACCCACAACAGGGATATATCAATACAATTTTATACATATGTAGCCATACAAGAACATACATTTGTACTTTCATGTACGTACTACTCCCACAATATGAACGCCGGAGCTTTTGTGAACTTTACACAAAAGGTAACATATTATTATAGAAAATATAATTGTTTTATAACAAGGATGTTCCTAATGACGCAATCCCTAGAATATGAACATTATGGGTCTTTTACATCAAAAAAGAAATACAAATCAATCCTTTTTCTATTCAGGACAAATATGTCACGATTAAGAACAAGTTCTAGAAACGACATTTTAAGCTCCCTCCAATAAAATAAATTAGGCCTAATATGAAAATTCTTTGTGGGACAATTCCTTTCGTTGATTTTCCAATGTCCTAAATAAGTAAACAGTGTAATGTGTGCCTTTCTTACGCAAGATCTAGTGAACTAGTGAGATCACGCAGTTATGTACTTAGAAAGCAAGTCTAATACGAAATGCAAGCAATCCGTAGTAACGGTAAACCAAATCACTCTGGCATACTACTAGATACTTATTACCATATACTTACATTACACTAGCATTAAATCTTCCGATACGTAATTACAATTACAGATGGTAGAAAAGTACAACATCGCTCAGAATTGACATTTAATAATCATGTTCGCCTTGCCATTGAGGCATGAGGTCATGACCACTGGACGGATGTACTAATCACCTAGAGTAGATCCACTGAGCCAATTTATGCAGCCAGGTGAAACACATTAATAATTATTCCTAGTGTACATCTCACTGCTATTAAAATATCATTGCATTCTTTCAGCATAATATCTAGAATAGTTAATGTTACTGTTTTATTATCACATATAGATAACAAGATGGCAAAATTAAAAGTAAAGCAATTACAAGTAATTACAATTAAACGTATGGCACTAAAGTTATCGTGATAAAAAATAATATCATAAAAATCAATTATTTGAACTACACACAATCAGCTAATATTAGCACACACTATCACATCCCTATATGTTCCCATTTTAATTATTTAATTATCCCCAATTCTGCACATAAAACTCGATCTTTACATTGTCAGAGCAGCAATCAGACATGCTTGCCATGTCATCATAAAAGTTATCATAAAAATCATAAAAGTTATCATAAAAGTTAAAAAATACAAGTTATCGCTTGCATAATAATACAACAGGTAATTTCCTAAATAAATTGACGGAATTCCAAGAGCTTCCCTTGTAAATGTCAAGTGCTGCTATGTGTTCCTCACCAGACCACATCCTATCCTATACCAAGTGTCAATAGATAACTTCACGGCAGACCGAGCACCGTGTAGCAAAGGCCAGACACCGTCATGATAGCTTAGGCCATTCCTAGCCTGAACATCTTGCGAATTATCCCAGGTCCTTCCCAGTAGCCCCTGAAAAGGTATTAGAAATCAATCACAAATCAAAACAACTTGGCTCTCATCTGCTTTAATTAATCCAAAGCATTAATGACTGTAATGACACGATATGTGTAACTTACACAAGTTTTCCTCAAAATCACATTTGGATTTACACTAGACACCAGTGCACAACCAGTGCGGACACAGAAGCATATATTTTCTCAGCACTTTTCGATACTTTATTGAATGCATGAAACTGTTCAGCTCAATCACATTCGAAATGTTGTTCATATCGAATCAAAAACATTCGAACAGCGCAAAGCACCAAAATTAATAATATCGCAAGCGTGATCAAACGAATGGCTTACACTTCTTTCTTTGGCCCACTTTCTTCGACACCATATGGAAAGACAGGAAGCACGTACGACTCACATTAAATAGCCATCAGAGATTCAGTCCAATAGAAAATCGAGTCACACTGCAATAGACTAATACGAATCCTTTGCGTTTGCTCGCCATCTTACTTACTTAAGCATCACGTGGAAGTAGACATAGGGTATGATGTCCTTCTTCATGATGTACATGGATCGCCGCTCCTTTGCCTGGTTAAAAGGAAACGTCTCCATCGGCTGCGCATTGTAGTCAAACTCAGCGAAGATGCACTTCTGATTTCCCGTGACGATTGGACACGACGTGTAGCCGTTGTAGACAGATGTCGGCTTGTCACCAGCCATCACCTGCAGGAGGTTGCGCTTGACGATACCGATCTGACACGCTGAAAAAACCACACAAAAAAGCTAGTAAAGGTGCATACGTAAATGGATATAGGGGTTGGTGTATGAGGTACGTCTAGGATTGGGTGTAGTGGTGGATGTAGGAGTAGGTGTAAGAGGGGGGTAGGAATGGGTGTAAGAGGAGGGGTGTAGCTGTGGGTGTAAGAGGAGGGGTGTAGCTGTGGGTGTAGGATTGGGTGTAAGATGGGGATATATTAGGTGCATGTCATAGGTGGATGTAGGTGCGGGTGCATGAAGTGGGTGTTAGAGGGTGGGTGTAGGAGTGGGTGTACAAGTGGCTGTAGGAAGCAGCTGTAGGAGTGGGTGTAAGAGTTGGTATAGGAGATGGAAGTGGGTGTAGGATTTGGTGTAAGAGTGGGGTATATGATGTGTTTGAGATGGATGTAGGGGCGAGTGTATGAGGTGGGTGCCGAGTGGGTGTAGGATGGGGATAGTATGGCATAAGGGTAAGGGAAATGAGTGTGGGGTGGGGGTAATGGTAGAGGTAAGTGCAGGGTGTAAGTTTAGGGGATTAGTAAAGGAGTAAATATAAGGTTTAAGACAAAAACTTAAGAAAGCAAGCAAATGAAACAAAACCATCAAAAGAGGATTTGTCATGTTCTTACCAACCGTTTTCATAATTTCTCAACGGTGCTAATACTTACTGGTACTCCTTGCATAACACCAAATGTATATAGTAAGGCTAACATATCATAGAACACTCGTACAACACTCTTTCCACCAATATGTGCACAGATCTACATTTCGAATTAGATTGCTTAAATATCATGTTAACAAACCTATAGGGCATAATTTTTGTTCTCGCGAGACTGTAACTCTGTCTCTACACAAGGTTAATTAACTTTGTATACATTTCGAGACAGATACCAGTCTATAAATATTTGCTTCACGCAATTACGTGTAGTTGTTTTGCGGGACCGTTTGAACATCCCATTATCGCGAATCTGAAGATAGCAGATCTATGCACATTTGCTGTTCATTACTGTTATATAGCCTATAACAGCAGGAACCTGTAATAATATATATGCTGAAGTAATCAGTAATATGTACGCTGACAGGTGAGACTGAATTTGTCTAAATTTATTTATTTTTCTATTTATTTGAGAAATGATCATTTTAACATGCCAAATATTAAAAATACTACTGAAAATGCAACGACTCTTCCACGACAAAAACATTTTCCCCCTACGCGGTTTCAAGTTGGAAAAAACTCTAACAAGCCCGTGTTGTTTCACATTTAGTGTCCCATGTTTTTGCACTGTGTGAACACTTTCGCTCACCCACGGCAGCTGCTGTCTTTGACGTTGGAAGATTCGTGCAGTCGCCGATCCCAAAGATGTTCGCAAACTTTTTGTGCTGTAGGGTGTCTTTGTCTACATCGAGCCAGCCTGCAGCATCTACGATATCTTTATTGTTTCTCACACAGTCGGGAGCTGACATAGGGGGCACCACGTGCAAGAAGTCGTACTGAAAACATACAATCGTAGAGTAATTAGTGTAGTGTGAAATTCATAGATATATAATATGATGGGTGTATACTTCCAACATGCAATCATCATACCTATTTGCATACCTGGTATCTGTGTCACTCATACGTGTGTACAAACTTTCTTTTGTAGTAGAGTAGTAACAACGATGGAAACTTTTGGTTCTAATTATTAATACGTACTATAAACATGTGTGTATACAGCATGATGTAACAGTAGAATAAAACCTAAGTTTATAGATAAAAAACAGGTACATCTCTTGTGGCACAGTTAAATGCAATAGTAAATTCAGTTGTAAAGCCCTCCATCATGATTTTAGGAGTGCAGGAAGCAGAACTTTAACATGTTTACGTTATAACATTTATGCCACATGGTAACCGTATTTACAATCAAGTATTACTAACATCAAGAACTAATAAACATTATATGACACCATATAATGTTCATTAGTTCTTGACGATGGTCATATGAGCAGTTGCAAGTGGCTGCAAAACGTAATATCATGAACATATATGTACCTATGTATCATGACTAAATATATGTCCATAATAGGATTAGGGCTCATAGGGTCTATGTCCCCCAGGGTACTGCCGGAACGTACCCTGGTAACTATCTGATATGGTTAGGGTTAGGGTTAGGGAGTAGGCGTAGGCAACTCCATAGACTCGTTAGTGGAGTAGGCGAGGTACGGTCCGGCATATTAGATAGTACCAGGGTATACCGGACCGTACCCAGGGTACGCTCCGGCAGTACCCGGGGGGGACATAGACCCTCTTAGCAGTATTATGTGCTTCATTACTACATGCATGTATACGCTTTTGTTATGTGGAAATTGAATGCTATCGATTATACATATACAAATATTTACCTATTCAACCACGCTATTAATTAGAATTACAGGAGATCACATGCAAAATGACATCCTGCATGGGACATGCAAGAATTAGTCATCAGATTTTCCTAATAATTCACATAGAAAAGCTGCTGATGTCAAGAAAACTACCCGCGGCCATTTCGGGTAAGAAAGGAAAGTAGCATCTACATGCGTTGTCAGCATGATAACTTAGCGCACACTCACATGAGCGGTTACGGTCTCCTTGGGAGTCTCCGAACTGTCCAGAATCTCAAACACGGCCTCTTGCGTATCTGGCTTCACCTCGATCAGGTTACGTTTGAAGTTGACGTTTAGATTCCTTTGTCGGGTAATTTCTGCAGGGACAGCGACAGTTGTTATCCGCCATTCTAGTTGCCTAGGACACGCATACTTGAAGCATGGTGTGCAGCACATACAGGCGTTTTATTATTGAAATGTAGCGATCATAAACACCAAAACCTTTACCTCACCTTATCTTTCCTCGGCGGTGTTACCCGATTCCGAACTACATTAAAGGAATTCTATCTGGCATATAGGAGCTGGCACTCTCCGTCTGTCATTTACAGGTGCTACAAGCACATTTAAGTTCCAGCAAACCATACATGCAAAAACTATTTAGCCATGAGTGAGCTGGCAAAGCAGTGCCAAATAGACTAACATAAGCTATAAATATTTAAGTTGATAACAGCACATGCCTAGCTGCCCTGTCAATCACTGGTGGGAGAGGTACTGGGCCCAAAAGGAGAGTCCCTGATAGTAACTAAATGCCAAATCATGTCTCTTTTACACAAATAAAAAATTGGAGAAATTCTCAATGTCAAGGATTTCTTTTGAACGAAACACCACAACAAGGAATAATGGGAAACGTACCTGTCAACACGTCTGCATACTTTTTCACTCCAAATATCACTCCCAACGATGTGTTGTAGTGCAATTGGCTTTTACTCCTCACACCATTCTAACAAATCAGAAAGGGAGCAAAAGTGCTTACATAATCAAATGACAGTAAGGGCTACACAAAACGTACACGGCTATGCAAAGTGCTGACACTTGACAGTCTATAATTCTAAATGTGCATGTATACGGTGCCCCTACCTGTTCAGTAAACGCCTATAAGTGGTCGCAGCAGAGTTACTCTGCATGTGCTGAGCATTTCATTTACATAGAAAACTAACCTTTTAGCCATGAAAATGATTAGACTATCTTCCATGTACACTGCATACTGACATAAATTGTAAGGGATAATAGAGGTCCGGAACAACTCCACTGCTGTGCTTTTGGAGTCAAGCAATGTTGCCGTAGCAACAGAGCTGCTAACGTTTATTTTCATTTTTGTGATGCTTCCCCAACAGCAAGCCCTAGCACATGCACCACCATGGTGCTTGAAAGACAATCATGAGCCTCTTGTCGGATATGATGCCAATAACACACGACAGAGTAGAAGCATTACCTTTGTCCAGAGGGCATCTGCCAGATACATGATTTTCTGCGGCGCCCCTGCACACTTGATTGGAGTGTTCGGAAAAGTGAAAAGAGCATCTCCGCCGTTGAATCGCTGTAAAGCTTCAGTCGTCTTCCCCACGTACAGTTTCGAGTAGTTCGACCCGACTCCAGGCGTCTCGAATGCTTCAGGCAGGCCCTTGATCTGGTGGCATAGGTTTCTCACACAGAAGTGATTAATGCCTTCTTAAATATTAGGCGATTATCTGTTGTAAATACGAGTGCAACTTCACATTTAACGTACAGTATGGCAGACCTCCATACATCCTAAGTGTTGTTATCTTGTAAATATATATATCTGCACATAGACAATTTTGCAATTTAATAAAGTGAAGATATGATGAGTTGCAAAAATATTATGTACCTGGTTGTAGTTTAATTGGATACCAGGACCAACAATCAGATACTCATATTTTATCTGCAAGTAATTGAAAACAGATGAAGGTGGACAGTCAATCAAATATTTTCTGTAACAAGATATCTACCAAAGTGGAACTGCACACTGTGCAAATACTACCAAATATATGACATGTACAAATTTTTACATCACACCACGTGATATATATATTCATAAATAATCAGTTTTGAAATGAATGAGAAGATAGACTGCAAAGCAAATCGGTTATTGTATTGTAAATAACACATTATATAGCAAAATGCAAGATATTGCTCTGGAATGACACAATGTCAGATTTATAATCCAGAATTCAATCAGAAATTAAGTACCAGTATTACAATTAGATCATTACTAAAATTAGAACAACATAAAAAAGGAAAAAGAAAGAAAGCAAAATGGAAACATACCTGCTTCCCACCTTCAGTAGTAACAGTATTATCTTTCGGGTTGAACTCAGCGACCTTGTCTTTGACCCAGGTCGCACGCTTTGGGAGAACAGCTGCCATAGGTCGGGCAGACTTTCCAAAGTTCATGATGCCAGCCCCGACCAAAGTCCATAATGGCTGATAATAGTGCTCCTGTCATCACGACAAAAAACGTTTCTATGAGATTAATATAGAGACCAGTTTTTGAACTAGTCAAGTTTAGGTTACCATGCATGATATTCTAGCCGGGTTTTCCATATATGCCGCACTGCCATGATTTTTTTTCGCCGAAATTCGGCACTAGAGTGCAATAATTTGCATTATGAACGCAAGTTAGATGCCTCGTGGACGTCTAGAAAGCATTAGACGTAAAATTGGTCTTGTTGTGTATTCGTGACATTCCGTCAGGTGGCGTAGCCACAGCGAGCGGTTGGTTATTTTTGTGTTTGAAATGTGTTCAGACAACTCTGCAGAAATTCGCATCATAGAGCTGGCAAAAGTTTCGAGCGGAGCATAGAGCCTGAATCTGTAGTTATTTAACATGTATAAAGTGTATGTTGTGTAAGCGCAGTAACACTAACGGTGTGAGTATTTTTAATTAATTTCTGTTCGATGCTTAATCAGGCCTGCCGCCTATGGACGCCCTCTACTGTTGTTCAACACCTGTTGTTTAACGCCTGGTAAGGAGAGCTTTTCTGCCAAAGAAATCGAATTAATATAATTTTATGTTAATGAAAATCAGTTATGCAAGTCCTCTAGCATGGTTTTTAGACACATGCATGTTCAAATGACATGTAAACATGTATTTTATGTAAACATGTATTTTTATGTAAACATGTATTTATGTAAACATGTACATATCCGTGTACAATATGTACATGTCATTTACATATAGATCTACATTAAAATACACTCATTTTACACTCATTTGGTACCAGAAAATAGATAATTATCCTCGTTTCACTCTTTTGTGACACTCCTAACACTATTAACAGTATCAAAATATCTTAACTTTGTTGGTTGCAATTCAACCTAACCCTCGTTTTAGCGTAACCGTCGGCTACGCAGTAAACTAGAGTCCCTTTAATAGATCCCGAGTCAATATACAAGTGCCGCAGAGTGACAGCGCTCATCTAACGTCTACTGCGGTGACTCTGTGGTGGAGTGGTGAGATTCTAGTAAACCCTGTTATTCCAAAATGTGTTCACATACACGCCGAAACAGTGGAATGCACAGGGATGGTATCAGGAACCTTCTCAAAGGAATGTTCGTTGGGATCGTTATGAAAGTTGCCACGAGATGGCGCGTACGTTTAAGTGTCTTCAGATATAAGATGGAAGCTCCATCGTACGTAGTAGCAACAACTATTTGCAAGACAGAATAGGTAAGCACTCATCCATTTACCTACAAAAGCAGGCAGGCAAAAACTACACAGTACCACCACCACATGCACTGGCAGTGGCCACTGGCAGTGGCATACATTACATGTAACATACTGACAGTAACAGAATGCCATAGAAATTATACGATTTAAGAGGCATAAACCTCTTCAACCAAATTTAGCTTTTGAAATTTCACTGTGACATTGTAGCCTCATACATCCAGACATGTATAGATTCTACTAGCAAACCCGGCAGTCAAATTCTTTCTAACAGACAGTAAACAAATCCATGTTTAACCCTCCTCTTGAGGGTCAAAAGGTTATCTGACACTTACTCTTCGCATGTCAGCAGAAAGTAGATTTCATGGTCCTTTCAATAAAGCCATAAAATGCTAAGTCGCCGCTGAACACAAAAAAGTTTTTCAATCGCTCCGTCAGACGCATGTGCTCAGAAAATGTCTAAAATCTGCCTGTGCACCATTGACCTTTGACCTGTGACCTCCAATTTCAGCACAGTGATGGCTTTTCCTACATGATGCTATACACCGACTACCCCGAGCCTAGGTCGAGCCGTTTGGATTTGTGCCGCAATTCTGCATTTCCCCATATACCTTAAGTTAAGGAGGGAATGTTCCCCCTTTTTTTTACACTCTTGACTTTGACCCCAGCTTCGACATCCCAACTCGTTTTGACGATCCCCCGACGTCCGAATATCGTGACCGTACGTCGAGCGGTTAAGATTTGTGCCCAACTGTTGACGAACGGACGATCGTGCGATTCTACAACTACAAGCTGCATCTGACTTCGTCAGATGAGCTAATAAAGGGACTCTACAGTAAACTATCCAGATCCAGATCCAGACACGTTCTTACCGGATTTGGTTCTATCACAGCTACGCTTTTCGATTTCCTCGCAAAAATGTTTGACAGCGACGCCCCGCCGGCTCCTCCTCCAACGACGACCACCTCATAGCTGTCAGCGTTCAGTGAACGGCTCGTGGAGAAACGCTGATGTCGACGACAATGCCGGACAAACTTGCTTGATACGTTCAACTTAAACATCAATGGCCGAAAGTTCACCGCGGCTGGTAAAAAGGCGCTCGCAGACATGTCGTGCAAAAATACAAGCAGTATTCTTGTATCTTCACAAGTATCTTCACAAGTAAAACACGACCAACTTTACCGACCAACTGTTCATCAAACCTAACCACAGAGACCTTCGACACGTCACCCATACGACGACGATAGCTGAGCTCGACTGGGACTCCTACCAACGTTTTCCCCCGAGTTTATAGCACGGTTAATAACTTTTTGCGTTGACAGGTGGAGCTCTGGTCGCGCTTTCGCGTCGGTGCCACGGTTAGGGACATAGAAATCACTCCTGATCATGTTTACACACGTGTTTATATATATCAATGGTTAGGGATATTTCACATAGTTCTCAGCAAAGTTCTCAGCCAGCTCCTTTACTCGTTCCACACCTCGCCACCAGATGTAAAAACTTAATAAATAATAGTAAATAATAAGATATAAAACTTGAAATTCACGAATGCTATAGCTAAGATATGTGTCTATATGTATCTAATTTCTAGAATTATAACCCAACTCGTTCGCGAGATAATAGCTTTCTGCCGCCCATAGCTGTGCGTATATTAGCCTATGATCGATACACGCGCATATTATTTGTAATTAATTAAATTAATCGTGCATCCATATGGTGCCACAGACCAAGGAGACTAATGGATATATGTATCCGTTAGTCTGTAGTGGTGCGTGACAAGGCCTTGTATTTATTTTATTTTTTTATTTTTTTATTTTTTTATTTAGGTAATTATCCATGATATATTGCATAGCATACGTTTACAAAACATTTTGAATTCATGAATTTAGAAAACTACCACGGATATATACACAAAAAGTGTGACTAGCACACTTATTTATACATTGCGGTTCTTGTTTTGCTATGTTACTGTTAATAAAAATACATGACACTATACTGACTACAATCACTATCATGTAACTATTGAAATATACACATTTGTAAATGTATCAGTCATACATTCTCGTAAGGTTCTACAAGCTTTTCTCATACCCTAAATACAATCCGAATGTGATTAGTGAAAGCATACTCTCTTCCTCCAATGTTTCGACCTTTTCCATTAGACATTTTTTACTTAAAACTAGTATAGATAGAATTTGTCCAAACATGCTGTGGTAGAGAGTTCCAAGCTTCAATTGCAGCGTAAATAAAATAGTTTTATAATCTATAGACCTAGTGCGCGAGGACAGATATCTACAGCGCATGCCCTGTGGCTCAAAAATACACGTTTCATGCAGAAAACTTCTCCAACAAAATTAAACTAGCAGCTGGAGCAAAGCAATTCGTAAATATATGAACTGTCTGGAATTACATCCTTGCCAAGCGCATCGGTGCATATAGAGCATGCGGGCCCGTGTAAAGGGGGGTCCATTCCCGGAACACTTTACCAGAACGTTCCGGAAGAACGGAAGACGTTTAAAAAAGAGAATCAATTAGTCGATGACAGGAAATTCAAGTCTGATAGGCAATATCCTGCGTTCGCCTTTGCACAGTCTTGAATTGTCAATATTTATGAATACAATAATAGCCACAATCAAAACTACAATTAAATTTAAGGTTTTCCGATTTTGAAATTTGAAAACATTCAAAAAACTTGAAAACGGGTTCGTATTTCCGGACGCTGCAAAAATGTTCAGAAGCTATCCAATTTGTGAGTCCCTATATTTTGAGCTCAGACTAAATAAATCGCATCTATAGACACTGCAATGCATTGATGCAACGTTTTCAGGCTCCAGATGTGCAGCAGCTATATCGAGTGCTGAAGTTGTTTGTAGCGGGATGCTTTACTTATTCACTAGCTGGCTATTATAATAATATGCATCTATCGTCTCTACAACATAACAAGAAAAAATTAAATAGAATGTGTTTTTCCATCGACATGGATCTCTTGATCTATTTCTGTCTGGATGCCTCTCTCCCTTGTACTTGTTCGATCTCTCTCTCTCTCTCTCTCTCTCTCTCTCTTCTCTCTCTCTCTCTCTCTCTCTCTCTCTCTCTCTCTTCTCTCTCTCCTCTGCTCTCTCTCTCTTCTCTCTCTCTCTCTCTCTCTCTCTCTCTTCTCTCTCTTCTCTCTCTCTCTCTCTGCTCTCTCTCTCTCTCTCTCTCTCTCTCTCTCTCTCTCTCTCTCTCTCTCTCTCTCTCTCTCTCTCTCTCTCTCTCTCTCTCTCTGCTCTCTCTCTCTCTCTCCCTCTCTCTCTCTCTCTCTGCTCTCTCTCTATCTTCTCTGCTCGTCTCTTCTTCTCTCTCTCTCTCTGCTCACTCTCCTCCCCCCCCCCCCCCCCCCCCCCGCCCCCCACCTCCTCCTCCTTCTCTCCTCTCCTCTCTCTCTCTCTCTCTGCTCTTCTCTCTCTCCTCTGCTCTCTCTCTCTCTCTCCTCTCGACGCTTCCTTACGGAAAAAACTTGAAGGGTATTCTCCTACTTCAGTCGCGCGCGAGTGTATAAGAGAGACAGGCGTGCTCAGCCCCTGATGTCAGTGCGGTAGATCGAGAGGAGTGAGTCTCAACGAGGGCTCATTCCGGCGACTCAGTTTAGTCTCGAGACAGTGGAGGTCGTGCACAATGAATTCCAGATAGCATGGTCCCTCCAGAGTTTCGTCATGAAAAGGTCGGCGGAAGTTGCCCAGCTCGAATCAGATCAGAGGATAGGGCTGGCGATCCCCTCCGTGTGGTGAATTTGCTCTGACCGTCCGTCACCGGAATAAGGGAATAAGGGAGTCATCTTGTCATCTTCTCGTTCGTCTATTCATTGCAAGGAAGCTGGGGTGGCGAAAGGCGGGGGAGATAATAGGAATGGAAGTGTAGTTGTGGAGACCGCGGTGTGATGAGGCTGGGTGGTCGTCGCGAGGAGAGGACGGGCTGATCTTTAGTGAATGTTATCGTCCAGTGGCGTCTAGACTCTCGTCGAGACCTCGATCTCGTCTCTCCTGTCTTACTATGTGGAGTAGCCGTCGGAGGGATCTCTTTCTCTCTCTCTCTCTCTCTTCTCTTTCTCTCTCTGCTCTCATTCTCATCTCTGCTCCGTCTATCTCTCATTACATAATATACAACAATCTAACATTATGTAGTAGGCGACCTTGCTCTTGATAGTATATATATATATATAATGTGACTGCATTCGCGCGCCCTGCTGCTTTTTATTCATCCACTGTTAATCCTCTCACGCGACATTTATTGTGGTATGATTAGACGATGTAGTAGTAGTAGGTATGGTGGTGAGCTGTACGTATATGGATTATCGATCATACACTCCGAGAACCTGTCCGGCCTAATCACATTTGACTTAATTTTTTCATGCGTCATAAAAGCTGGGTGTTACACTTGCTAACTTAAAGCACAAACGCGCCATGCTACATCGAGGCAGTGTGTGCTTTACATTTGTTCCCGTATTTTCCTGCTAAATTACGACCGCAATGCATATTGAGCAACGAGGAACCGTTGCTTGTGTGGAGACAATTATTCAAATACCAAGTGACCGTCCATCATGTAGTCTTTGAATTCTTAAAGGATCCCTATTTGCTCATGACTCAGGGAAAAAATTTCCCCATTCATTATCTTCAGAGGAAATCCCGCACGAAATGCGGCTGCAGTTTTGCAATGTCATCATTCACAGTCGATTAGTGGTTATATGTAAATACGTCATTTATCTATCTATTATGCTATGCTATCTATTATTCTATCTATCTATCTCCTCTATTCTATCTATCCATCTATCCTATCTAGCGCATAGGCCAGGTGGGCATGAAATGCGTCACATTGCACACTACACACACACACACACACACACACACACACACACACACACAGCACACACTACACACACACAACACCGCACACAAACAGCACAATACACGCACGCGCCGCAGAGCGCAGCACGCAGACGCACGGCACGTACACACACACACATACTCAACACACGCACGCACGCACGCACACATACACACACTTACTCTCACTCTCTCGTCTTTTTTTCTGCCTCTTCTCTCACCGACCCGCTCTCTTTTACCCCCCTCTCTCTTTATCTCTTTCTTGTTTCCTTTCCCACTTCCTCTTTCTTTCGCTTGCTCTTTACTATTTAATACTATACGCCGTATAGTTTTGGCAGCGTTATCTCCACGTCTGGCAGTTCCACCAATTTCTACTATATATCTAATAACTGGCAGCATATAGCAGCGTATCACTATTGACACGTATCGTGCTTGAACTTTGATCGGTTATTGATCCTTCATAATCGTCGTTCACCTTCATACCCGGAAACCAACCAACACTTACGAGCTCGTGATTTTAGAGGGTAGACATAGACCGACTAGACTCAACCGAGACTAGACACAAGTGATGCTTCCTGTCATTCAGAGTTCTTCTAACGGTGCAACTAGTCCTACCGCGCGCATACAGTGACATAGACTATATATAATATATATAGCTATATTATGCACTCCTGTGAATATCAGCAGGTCGCCGCGTTGCTTGAGGAATATCAGACAATTCTGTCAGCCTCATAAATCTTCCTTCGATGATTAGGATCTATACTAACTATATCACCTGATCAGATCCATAAAATCGTTCAGAAATTTTATTCGGGTTATTCGAATTTATTTCGCCTACGCACATTCATCTGAAATCTTCATAGGAAATTAAAAAGAATGATTATATGTTAAAACAATTAAACGTGCTTGCAAGGATAAAAACTGCAGTGAATATAACATTTTTAATGTTGTCATCAACCAGCCCTCGTTTAAGCATAAGTACAATGCTACATTGTCCACTGCTACAATTTAATTTTTGATATATTATATATATATATCAGAGTCCATAATAGACAAGTCCATAATAGAAATTTCTATTATGGACTCTTGATATATATATATATATATATATATATATATATATACGGGCTAGCCCGGTTGCGGTGCCGTTCGCGAATTCCTTGCCCGTACATCTCCCGGTATGATCAGGGAATATCTGCACAGTACACTGCGGAGAACCATACCTCCAGATTTACAATTTGAAATTTTACAATATGTGCGCTAGAGCTGAGCACATACGGTATGGTGACCTCTTCACCTGATTTTGAGAGCTAACAATTAAGTATAAACCAATAATAATTCAAGTTAGACGAAACATTCTACTGACATTTGCCAAAATGATTACATGACAGGCAATACAAAATAACCCGAATCTGCAATAGTTTATATAGCGTTTGCGTATTTTTTAACATAACATATTTAAAACTAGTTCATTCTCTTACAAGATAATTTCCTAAAGAGTGAGTTGTATATTATTATATTGATCGTCACTTTATTATATTTCATGTCAATTTGATATAATTATGTTCATGTAATTACCTCCGCGCAAACGGAGGTCATGCAATCGCTCGCGTGTGTGTGTGTGTAGCCACCGCGCGATCGATAGCGCGTCGAGTCAGCGAGTGGCGAGTCAGCAGCAGCCACCAGTGAGCAGCGAGTCAGCAGCAGGCGAGTCAGTCAGCAGCCGCCACCGGCGAGCACATACATGTTACAAGCTGGCGGAGGCATGCACTCTCCGTGAGTGCCCTCTGTCTAGTTTCCATGTAAATTGTGTGTGTGTGTGTGTGTGTGTGTGTGTGTGTGTGTGTGTGTGTGTGTGTGTGTGTGTGTGTGTGTGTGTGTGTGTGTGTGTGTGTGTGTGTGTGTGTGTGTGTGTGTGTGTGTGTGTTCATGCGAACGTGCGTCCGCGCGTGTGTGAAGTGTTCCTCAGTGAACGGCATCCTGGAATAGGTGTGACATCACTTCATAATAGATGAAGCACTCCGTCGTGCTGGCTGGCACGGAGGCATGTTAGCTTAGGCCATTCCCAACCTGAATATCTTGCGGAATATGGCAGGTCCTTGCCAGTAGCCACTGAAAAAGGTGATGGAAATCAATTTTGCAGATCGAGTCAATTAATTAAGTTGTTACCTGCGTTAATTTAACTAAAGCATTGCTTTATCGAAATTAGACTAATTGCATAACTTCAAGAGCATACAAAATATTATATTTCACGCACTCTCGATATTTTACATGATCTTACCCAAAATCATATTTATACTACACGCGCGTACACACGCACACGTTTATTCAACACGATTAGAAACTCAATTAGTTGAATGTAACTCTATATCATCAATAACGTTTCAAAGCTGCCTTAACAAAATAATCGAATATTGCTTCGAGCGATTGAGAATCGAACAGGAATCGAACATTGAATCAATTTAATACAGTGTTTGACGCGAATCTCGATAACGATGCGAACGATCAAATCAACCGTTCCCTCTTTCCCCTTACTTCAGCATCAGGTGAAAGTGGATTTTGGGAATAACATTTTTCTTCATGATGTACATAGTTCGCCGCTCTTTCGCCTGATTAAAGGGGAACGTCTCAGCTGGCTGCTTGTCGTAGTCAAACTCTGCGAACACGCACTTGTTATGCCCAGTAAGAATCGGACACGACGTGTAGCCATTGTAGACTGAAGTCGGTTTGACGCCTGCCATCACCTGCATCAGGTTTTTTTGAAGAATGCCGATCTGGCATGCTGAGGAAAACATTATGATCGTAAGGGGATGTAGAGGTGGTTCCAATGAGTAAGAGTAAGCATGATTTGTTTGAATGGGTCAAGAGGTGGATGTATATAGAAGGTTAGCGTAGGGCTTAGTGTAGTAGAGAGTAGATGTGGGGTGGGTGTAGGGGCAAGGTGAGAGATTAATTATAAAGATATGAATGGGTGTCGGATGATGGTGTGGCAGGTGGGTTTAGGAGTGGGGCCAATGAGCGGTTGTTGGGAGATGGTGTAGGGGTGGGTAAAAAGATCGGTGTAAGAAGCTGATCTAACTATAACATATAGCTAGAGACAAAATGAACCAGCAAATGATTAAACGATCGAAAAGATGACAATCAAGAAACAACGAAAGAAAGCATGTTGTGAGTTAAACCATCACATGACCCAATGACTGACCAAACAGTTCCGAGGTGGAAGCATTTCATTCCCGAGTCGTTCTATGCTTGAAGGCGTGCCCTCGTAAATCTTTTAGCTCACCCACGGCGGACCCGGTCTTTGACGTTGGAAGATTCGTGCAGTCGCCGATCCCAAAGATGTTCGCAAACTTTTTGTGCTGTAGGGTGTCTTTGTCTACATCGAGCCAGCCTGCAGCGTCGACGAGATCTTTATTGTGTCTCACACAGTCGGGAGCTGACATAGGGGGCACCACGTGCAAGAAGTCGTACTGAGAACAAATGAGTACTGTGTAAATGGATCTGTCTGAAACTCTGAACTGCCGATTATGCTAGTTATGGTCATTTGTTAGTCATATTGCCGTTCTCAGGCCAGGGTCCTGCACCGGTCATCTCTGCTAGAATCTGTGTTTAATTTCTATGCTGTTTTCCCAGGAGCTTCACCTCCTCACTCAACTCTGGCTTTGCAACGGAAGTCAATGTGTTGTCTTGTTTAGTCTGTGTGTATATTTTTGAATGAATTGGTAGTTAATGCTGACACAGTATGTTCTTATAGATTATTCCCCAAGTTTGCAATTCTGGTGCAGAGTACGTCTGAGTATTATTTTGGCTTTTTTAGAAAAATGGCTTAGAGCTGTAGTGTTGTATTGTACAGGGTACAGAGTTCAATAACTAATCTGCGCGCTGTCTCATTCCGAAGCTGACTAACAAGACTCTGCAATCATCTGCCGGGCGACCCTTCGCTACATCTCATCTACTTTGCTACAATCTGCTATACTTGCTACATCACTACTACGCTGCTACATTCTACGAGAACCCGCTGGAGATCAACATTTTCTTCCTCTTTCGCTCTTCTTCTTCTTCTTCTTCTTCTTCTTCTTCTTCTTCTTCTTCTTCTTCTTCTTCTGGGGGATTAGCTGGCAGAGGTAGCGAATGCAGAACGTAGCATCCTCCACCAATTATTGTACTGAAGAAAATGATGATCTCCAGTGGGTTCTCGTAGAATGTAGCAGCGTAATAGTGATGTAGCAAGTATCAGATTGAAGAGATAGAGAGTATGAATAGAGATGATAAATAGAGAGTACTATTTATAGCAACTTAGCCTTGGTGACATAGACGAATATAAAATGATTGTAACCCTATATTGTTGATACGGGTAATTCTGCAATAGGTCAACAATGACAGAAACAGACATTAGTAGTAATAATAAAAATCATTGAGAAGAGGAATCCCTGATTTTATCGAAATGCAAGCACAACCTACATGAGTGGTTACGGTCTCCTTGGGAGTCTCCGGACTGTCCAGAATCTCAAACACGGCCTCTTGCGTATCTGGCTTCACCTCGATCATGTTACGTTTGAAGTGGACGTTTAGATTCCTCTGTGTGCATATTTCTGCGGCAACAGCAATAGGCGCTATAGCCACTAATTCACAACGTGTCAGTGAAGATAGGCGTATACGAGAAGCAAGGCGGACAGCGCATTTGAAATATGCTAATCTTTAAACACCCGAGTATTCTACTATATGTAGCCTACCGATTCTGCTATTACAAGATATAGGAAAATTTCTCCAAATTACGGATTTTTTTTTGTGGTGAAGAATCACAATCATACTTAATAGGGAACGTACCTGTTAACACATCTGCGTACTTTTTAACATCGAACATCGTTTCCTGCGACGTGTAGAAGTGCAGCTGGCTTTTGCTCCTCACACCGGTCTAATAGCAGCAGGGGAATAGTAATGCGGAGTAGATCAAGTTAAACGACAATAAAGGACATATCCGCCACACGTCTGCGCAAGATTGACTCCCTTTAGACACTTACTAGATGTAGGCAGGATTTATCTCAGTCTTTCATTGATATGAAATGAATATTAAATGTTGTGAGGAACGTCGATGTAATGAAACTCTTTGATTCACACTCGATGCGATTTCTAGAGACTTCGACAAAATGTCACCACTGTGCGTGCATGGTAACTTCGTAGCACTACTTTAACAGCACTGCTCATGGGCTCCTAGTTCTAATCCAAAGCGTAACCATGGTATGAAGCTTCATACAATGCTCTATCACTGATGTTACTTTTAATATGAAACAGTGAAAGAGCTTTACATTTGTCCAGTATGCATCCGCCAGATACATGATTTTCTGCGGAGCACCGCGGCAATTGATGGGCGTGCTTGGAAGCGTGAAGATAGCATTTCCGCCCTTAAATCGCCGTAGAGCCTCTGTCGTCTTCCCCACGTACAGTTTCGAGTAGTTCGACCCGACTCCAGGCGTCTCGAATGCTTCCGGAAAGCCCTTGATCTGATGGCATATGTTTAAACAGGTAATTGCTATCCATGTTGTCCTAATTACTAGGCGATTGACCATTACAATAGGTGTTGGTCAACGCATTTACGAAAGCTTATATGACAAAGCGTCAATACCTGCTAAGTGTCTGTGTAAATAAGTTTGTATATATCTAAATAATTCGGGCAATCAAAATTTTGAAAATTTAGCGCTATGCCACGTACCTGGTTATAGTTCATCTGGATACCTACCGCAACAATCAGGTACTCATATTTAATCTGCAAGTAATGGAATAAAAAATCCAGATGAGAGACCGGATACCAGAGAAGAGTCGCCTGAGAGGTGTTGATCCTGCCCGCTGAGCGCGGATCTTGCGCGCAGTTCCGCGGCAAGGCGTATCACGCGCTGGCAGCTATTGACCCGTAGCCGTACAGATCAATTGCTGCCAGCGAACAGTCTCGAATTTTAGCGCGTCTAATTCACTAGCAAACATATGCACACGCCATCGCGCAGGTGAAATAGCGATGTTTCACGTGACGTCATAGATCAGGTCACGTGTATTTGTTATGTGTTGTGGTTGGCAGAAGCGAAGCGTGCTGCTTGACATTTGCAGATGAATGACCACATGTTCTGATAGAAAGCGCTGTTTATGTAGTGCCCGTACACGTGCGTGCTGCGTGCGTGCGTGTGCACGTACACGTGCGTGCGTGCGTGTGTGCGTGCGTGCGTGTAAACTTACACGTGCGTGCGTGCGTGCGTGCGTGTGCACGTACACGTGCGTGCGTGAGTGTGTGCGTGCGTGTGCACGTACACGTGCGTGCGTGCGTACTTCCGTGTGTGTGCACGTACACGTGCGTGCGTGCGTGCGTGCGTGCGTGCGTGCGTGCGCGCGTGTGCATGTGCACGTGCACGTAT